GATTGGCAGAACAATAGAATGAGAGATGGAGCAATAAAATGATAGATAGAATGATAGAACAATAGATAGAATAATATATAGAATGATAGAACAATAGATAGAATGATGGACAGAACATTAGAAAAAGAGAACGATAGAACGACAGAACGACAGACAGACAGACAGACAGAACAATAAACAGAAAGACTGATCCTCTCAATCTGAGTCTATGAATAATCAGGGCACATATGCGAGCCACACTCACATGCGTTACGCAGTAGACTGGATGCACTCACAATAACAGAGAAACCCACAGAAAACAAATAAATAAAACTGCCGCTCTTTACACAGGGCTTTTATCACTTCTTGAGGAAGAGCATTACAAAGAAAATAGAAAGTGCACTCTTAACCCTGACCCTGTGTGAGGAGAGAGCCGCCTAACTGTGGCCTTACCTGTAATAAACCCTCAACCAGCAGCACCAGATCCTAAATCACTCTACAGGACTCTAGAGTATCAAATGTCGCTGCATACAAGTATACACACAGACACACTGCCGCAAACAAAATCATGCAAATAGACACAAAGAAACACAAACAAGCCAACTTGACTACCACACGTCCTCTCCAAAGTACAAATATCTAATTATCATCTCAAAGTTTATTTACCAGAAAACGGTGGCGGAAAATGTGAAACATCATAGCGTATGTGTGAGGGGTGTTAGTCACAGAGCCAGAGGTCTTGGCAGGTCACCCAGAAGCCGTAAAGGTTTAGTACCGGCCCACAACCTGTTTACGCCATACTGAGGGCCCTGATTCATTTTCTCTTTCCCTCTCTTCAACATTCCTTCTTTCCTTCATGACTGAGGGAAAGAGGTATTGCTGCCCAAAAGATTCAGAATTGATTGGTATTACTAATGAGAACTGTAAATACTTTTACGATTCTAGGTCCTGGTAATTATTCCATTTTCATTAATGATTCTTATACAAAAGGCATTGTCTTATACAAATTTATTTGGAGGAAAAAGGCAATTCAATGGCCACATAATAAGCTATGATTTATATAAATGTAAAAAAAAATTGGAATATAGGGTCATTTTTAAATGACTTTTCATAGATGGTTAATTATTATTATTATTATTATTATTATTATTAATTTTAGGCATCATAAATACTGTCTCATGACTGACTGTAACTAAAAAATAAACAACACTATTAAATATACAAAACATTTATTTACATAAAATTCTCCTGATGAAATGCATGATGTGCTTTTTTAATAACTAGTGAGTAACTAATTTAAGTTTAACTGTTAGCTGACTCTAAACGAAAAACAAAACAAACACATTTGTTTGGGAATCAGACTACACTGGTCACACTATATACATTTAGAAGAGGATAGCTTTTAAATGGAACAGTTTAATGAAATTTTAGACAAAGTAAACATACAAAGTAAACATACAAACGTAAAAGTTTGCATGTGTTTTTTGTTTTGTATTAAATAATAAATAAATGTTCCTGTTGTATCATTCTTGCTAATTCAATTTCAACATGATTTTTCATCTTTTTTTCATGTTTTAGTTCTCAAAAATGGTGTATGGATAATAAAGTAAACCTAAGTTTCATCAGTCCAGTAAATGTCTTGAAAAAAATCTTGAAATATTACTAATAATCTAAAAGTTATCCTTACATTTATTTTATAAAAATACTTAATTTTCAGAGCAAAAAGACACTTTTAAGAATTATAACAAAAGGCCTCTTACTTACTAAAAATGTATGAACTATTAATCAGAGAGCAAAGGCATGTAGTAGATTGTGTAAAACAGGTTTAGGTTTTTTTTTTTTTTATCATGTTGCTGTATTAAATATGATACAGTAGGCTCTCTAGGGTTAAGGAAGTGTCAATATTTCAGGAACACACGTGCAAGAGCAGTTAATGGAAAAACAAAAAAACAATTGGGTGCCGTTTTGTTAATGCAGCCTTGGTTCACAATTCACATAGAAGCACAGGCATTAAACAAGGGATATAATTAAGTGAAATAATGAGGCAAGTATTTGAGCAATTTGAGAACATTAAAAAGTATTACTTAAACATTGAAGGAGAATGAGTAAATGATGCATTTCATTTTCCACAGAAATATTCCACAACTGCCACAAAAAGAAAATGCCTAGCCCTGAATTAAGAACAGAAAGGAATGATATTTTACCTGGTCTTCACAACATCCAATGGGTGCATCAAGCAAATCTCCACAAGACCTATAGAGGACAAAAATCATAAGTAATTATGTATCTGCCCTGTTAAAACCGACATAAATCAACGGGACACGAGCACAACCGGACACGTTATTATTCGCTCACAGGCCATTAATCTGTCATTACCAAATGCCAAGCTTTCTTTCCGTCTCTTCCACTCACTCTTGTTATATTTCACAGAGCTTTTTAAGTACTATTTCAGTATAATCCAATTTCATTCAAAAGCCTTTTTGCATTATACAGTGAATTTTTTTTTAACTGCAGTCATCGCAAACACAGCATCATTTCATACAAACACTTGTAAAGTCTCTCGAGACTGAAACGTTCGACCTAATCCACAAATATTTCACCGCGTTAAAATGGTGATGTATTATACACTACGATCCATATATTTGTAAATACAAATAAACACAGATCACAGATGTGTTGTGTGTGATTCCATTCGCCATGTGTGTGGTTTGTGTGTGTCTACATTCAGTTGATGGAGGGTTTTCCCCTCAAAAATCCCTATGTAACAGTCCCCTGAACTCACATCCGACAGGAGCTGCTTGGCAAGCAGCCACCTTCGTCACTCTGATCTGGTTTTTGCCTCCTTGCCACTCCACTGCAACTGACAAGCGTGCGGGAAGGGATCTGGCAACAAAATGGCCTCCATGCAGAGATGTGGGACGTTGCGCTCGCCTGGCCTGCAAGTCATTACCATCATCCATTTAATTCGGTTCCAATGTGCTGATGGACATAAAATCCCAAAGTATTTTCGAATCCTATTTTATCTGGACTGGCCCACAGAGAGGCTGCCGTAATGGCCTTCCTAATGCCAGGATTACAGTTCATATACACTCCAGCCATGACCGAGGGGGCGAGGGCTGTTTAACATGCTGAATAATGGTGATTTCACACTGCAAAGCACGGTGAATACTTCAGATGTTGTTACCACACAGATCGGGTTCCATTTAATGGAGATGGTGTAAAACAGATGAAACCGTATATGCGTTGGGCTACAAATTATGTAAGTAGTTAACAGCTCTGTTTTGCACTAAACAGTTCACAGAACACTTTTTTTTTTTCAAGGTAGCTGTAAACAAACAGATTGAGGGGGTGTTCGATGGGTGCAATGCATTGCAATGAGATCGCAGAGGCGTGATTATGCATCTGCATCGCAATTCTCAGCTCCGTTCAGGCGTTTACTTTAATGGCTTCCTTCACAGATTCCTCTATGTGTACACAGCTGCTGAGAAATATGCTCCTTTTCTAATTTCTTCCATTAAATGTATTGTCCATAAACAAGACATTGCCTCCTTGGGGATTTTCCAGGAAAGTAATAATCAAGAGAAATTCCAAAGAGGAACTGCAATTGACTTCGCAATAGATACGCACAAAGGTGATACAGTGCTGTCGTTTTGCATGTACCGTATGTCTTTTGAACGGAGGATGTGGCATATTCATAAACAATTCCCAGCAGTGGGACAGGCTGAGGTGGTGTGATTCATTTCAAAGCTGACATGAGCTTGTGGAAGATGCATCAGTGAGACCAAAATGAGGAGAAAGCAGGCAAATTAGGTGTGTCATAGTCTCCTCGTCGCCCAAAGTGATAAAACGCTGTAACGTTTATCATTAATTAATCACGGCTGCCAGGGCATCACAGGGGAAAATAATGTTACGCACTCAGGAGACACATGTTTTCCATTTCAGCACTCTATCCATCCTGAGGAAATAAAAGAGAAGGAGGCCTGGGAGAGTCATCTCAGCAGCGAGACAGCTGGAGGAATAGACCCATCCATACTTGATGCTGAGGTGGAGCCGTAAAGTCATATTAAGGGTTATGTCCTTTTAAAATGCCATACCACTTGATAAACATTTTCATTGCAGTGAATTAATTTAGTCAAGTAGGACATGCTCCTGGAACAACATTCTTATCAACCTATTAATTACCTCAGATTTTAGGGGCAGTTTATTGTTCAGAACTGAATTAATTAATTTTTTTTTTGTTATTCACTTTATGAATTTGAAATTAATTTGAGGTAGGAAACAGGATGCAAAATTGCATTTCAAATAAACAAATGTAAATAAATTCATACTGTATAAGTGCAATAAGTCACATTTCTTAACTAAAATAGGAAGGTCTGTATAGACAAACTTTGAGTTCTTTACAAAACTATGTTTGAAATTTAAAAAGAAGATAATTTTTAGGTTTAAGGCCTTACAGACAAACAGACGATCTGTTTGAAATGCAACCTATAAATTTAGATATAAATATATATGAAGCATACATAAATAGCATAAATGATGAAAGAATGTCATTTCCCAGAATGCCATTAGTTGCTGAATTTCTCCCACTTCCTGCATTTCAATTTAATGTCCAGTGGGTGTTGTCAATTCAATACAATTTCCAACTAATGAAATACATAGGAAGCCATTTTTCAAATATCCCAGGTTCAATAAAATAAAATAATAAAATAAAATACAAAATCTTACAGTGAATGTGGCCAATCTGTGGCCAATGTTAATATACACTAATAAATAAATATACACTAATAAATCAATAAAAAAAGCAACATATTTTCTGTTGTTGAAAACTTTGCTTCTTTACTTCTACTTTTGTAATGCCTTAAACCATAAAATGACTAAAATGAGAACATTGAAATAAAAATTTATGTAGGCACATATAAAATAAGCACCGCATTTCTGCTTTTAAATTCTTCAAAAATAGTCTCCATTTACATTCATTATAAGTACGTCACCGTTTATTTTAAATGATATCGAGGGACCAGTCAAAATTATTTTTTGTGGCAATCAACATTATGCCAAAAGTGCTTTCGATTAAGCTTCACTTGTATTGAACTCACCATATTCACCAACCCCCTATGTTTGTGTTGACAGGAAAGTTGTTTGAGGACCAACAAAAGGTTTTTGATCCCAAAACACATGCTACTTGGCAAAATCCCGGTCACTGTTGAGGTAAATGTGGAGGAAGCCTGAATCCGTGTGAACCCTGTTGCTGCTCTGAACTGTACAAGAGGGGCTCGTAGAGGATCAAAGGTAGGAAGCAGTGAGCAGTTGAGAAAGCCTGTCACTCATTTGAGTCTAATGAACTCCATGTTTGGCGGAAAAGAAAAGAACACCCTAGTTAAGCAACAACACTCGAGAGTTATCGTCTAAGAGCTTCCAAAGAGGGGGAAATGCACAAACAAGGTGAGAGGGCCAAAGAATAAACCACAGCCATCATTGGCATGTTCCATATGGGTGGATTTAAGTGAGAAGGAAAAAGACCAAGAGGGGGGCAAGAGATGGAGGGACTGAAAGGGAAAGCAAGACTTTCCCTACACAACGCTAGCAAGTAATTAAAACGGCTTAAGTGGATGCAAGCTGTGCTCTTGAAATAAGAAAGCCTCTGAGCTTCAGCCGCAATATATGAAGAATTGGTGATATTGTTGACCAATAAATTATTGGTAGAACCACGATGGGAACAGGGCCGGCGTTAAGGGGCCCAGTTAGGTACAGCCTACTAATTGTACCCAGGGGAGAGATGATCCACCCATTAAACATTTGTCCCGAACTCTGTAAAGTTTAGCCCTGGATGGGAACAAGATCATTTTGGTATACGGGGCAATAGGGCTGGGTAAAAATATAGATTTTTTTTTTTAAACAAACTGTTCAACATTGATGATGATGATGATGATAATGATAATAATAATAATAATAATAATACACTGAAGACCGGAGTAATGACTGCTGAAAATCCGGCTTTGACATCACAGGAATAAATTATATTCAAAAATATATTCAATAATATATATATATATAAAAAACAGTTGGCTGGCAGTGTGTGTGTGTATATATATATATATATATATATATGTGTGTGTGTATGTGTGTGGGGTGTGTATATAACACACATATGCTAGATTCCTAGTACAATTTAGAGAGAATCACATGTAAGCAAAATGAACTCTGCAAAATATACACTCACTGCAAAAAAATGGCAGCAGTAGTTGCCAGAACCTCATCAGAAAAAAATATATATGTTGCAACATTTTAGGTTTTATGGATTGAACTTAAATTCACATTAAAATACTTAACTAGTGTAATGTTACACACTAATGTTACACATCACGTTCTTTCCTTCCTTTTTCCTTTCCTAACCTACTGAATCTACTTTGAACCTATAATAATATTTTAATATACTGACAACCACCAAAAAACTCAGGTGAAAGTTAGACATGTGACAGAAAAGTCACATGATGATTCATGTACAGCTTTTCCACAAGCTGAAGTAACTTTTTATTAACCATTTAACAGGTTTTACTGTAGCATTTTTTTTCAATCATTTACCGTTAAAATGTTGATAATTTTTTACAGTGCACAATATACAATGTACACTAATAAACTGAAATTGAATCAAATCCAATAGGAATGAAAATGAATCAGGTAATATGTATCACAGTGTTGTTATTGTTATCTAAAACAAAAACTATTAAAAATTATTTTTGTTCATTTAAACATAGCTAATATAAAATAAAAAAGTATTAGATGGAAAAAAAAAAAACCTAAACAAAGATTATAAACATTGCCTCGGCAATTAACAAAGATTAACAAAAAGAACAAAAATTACAAAAATGTAAGAAGCACATAACAAAATTAGTCAAATGTAAACTAACATTAAAATGAAAACTACATAAATACTATAATAGTATGTAAGTAATACTAAAATTACACTGGTGTATCAATACCCAGTCCTTGGACAACAAAGTTCAACTCAGCAGTTTCTACTTTCTTCTGTGTTCCTACCACATTGCAAGGTTCAGTAATGTTGTTTACCCAACAAAATAGTTGTCACTGGGGTATAGAACAGAATCAGACAGCTCTGCCATGTGTGGAGGTGGAGAAAAATGGTACGCTTGCACTATTTGCATGTTTTCCTTGACAGCTGAGTACAAACGAACAAACTCTTATGATGAGCGTGTCAAGATTAAAGACATTATGCAGATGCAAAGGACACGATTGGACACCTTATCAGATATTAAGTCAGGCATAGCATCATGATTGAGTAATATTTACTGAATTCAATTGGATGGAAAACACAAGCCTTGTTTTTTCACAGTACTTCCGTGTTGGATCATCGCATTGGTTCCGCTTATCAGCTCCAGTATCTACCTAAAATAGCAATGCAAATGACAATCACAGAATCACTATGAGCAGCTGCTGGCAACAACATCTAAGTTTGCTGTTCCACAACAACTTTATTTTACAACTGATCAACTGTCACAGATGTTATATCAAGAAGAGCGTAATCAAACATGATCAAGTGCCTGCGCCCTTCTGATCCAAAACTCTCTGTAGGCTTCCCCATCCAAAAGTTCAGTTGCACTATGGGATTTCTAAGGCTGTCAGCACATGCTACTGTTTGATCATGTGCCTTAAGTGAAGCAGAGAGTGGAGCAAGTGGAGAAGTAGAAAGTCTCTTTCTGAACTCCTCTGTAATATTGCCATTTAGTTAAAGTGCAGGCAGAAATTGACCTGCCATCTGGTTGGTGTTTTAGGCTTAGTTCCGCCTCAGTGAGTGACATATCATTGAGTTCCATTATTTGGCATGTCTTTTGTCTCTGAGCCACAATAGCACTGACAGTTTCTGTCATCTGCGGCGTCTACACCCGCAGATACATGCGAGAGAACAGCCACACATGCGCTGCAACAGACTGACAAGGAGAGGCGATTGCCCTCAAGACGCTGTCACAAACTATACTCTGCAACAAAGAAATCAACACATGTTTGTGAGTTTATCATTAATGGCATTATCTGTTTTAATGAAAAACTCTTAATCATGTAAATGATTTAACATAGCCTACGTGGAAATTTTGACGTAAGGTTTTCCCAAATGAGGCGTGGGAAGACCACACTATAGGAAGGCATTCAAGCCAGGTGAGTAACATTCGCCATCAGGCATGAGGAGCATGACACATACTCAGGAAGTACAAGAGTGTACATTTTAAAATGTCATGAATTTGGAATATATATAAATAACCCGAAATTCAGTCAAATCCAATCAGAATCAAAATAATTCAGGAAATGTATATCAGTGTTGTTATTGTTAACTTAAACTAATACTTTGGTAATTGAAATAAAGCTAAAGTAAAGTAAAATATAAATAATTAAATGAAAAAAAAAATTGAAATGTTGACTTGGCACATACTGAGGATGCGCAAGACCAGATATTTTGATATTGATATATTATATTATAGTACTATAAACAAAAATGACATAGTTGAATTACTGAAATAAATGAACTTTTCCACGACATTCTAATTTATTGAGATGCACCTGTATATATATATATATATATATATATATTTGGAATCTATATCATTCAAAAAGGTTTGGTAAACTGCTGCTGAAAGAAGTCTTTTACTCACCAAGGCTGCATTTATTTGATAAAAAATACAGTAAAAATGTTGTGACATATTTTACAATTTGAAACAACTGTTTTTATTTTAATATATTATAAAATGTAAGTTATTCCTGTGCTGGAAAAGCTGAATTGTCAGCAGTCATTTCTCCAGTCTTCAGTGTCACATGATCCCACAGAAAGTATTTTAATATACTGATTTGGTGCTCAAGAAATATTTCTTATTATTACCAATATTGTTGTGCTGCCCAATATTTTAAACTTTTTTCCCCAGGATTCTTTATCAACAGGAAATTCAAAAGAACAGCATTCATTTGAAATATAATTTTTTTGTAACTGTAAAATTTTTACTGTCGATTTTGATCATGTGAGGTCACGTGAGTCAAGCTTGCATTGGCTGATCACATCTACCTATAAGAATACGACACCTATCACGGCATTCCTATATAAGCTCTATTCAGTATTATTCAGCAGCTTTTTTGCTTGCTCAGGAGCAAATTACCCTCCTCCATCCCCAACTCCTCCTTTCACCACAGTCAGGACTTGGCTTTCTGATATTCCTTGTTGAATCAGACTCCTTTTATCTTGAATAATGTGTTACACTTAAATATCATTAAAGGGATAGTTCACCCAGAAATTAAAATTTGATGTTTATCTGCTTACCCCCAGGGCATCCAAGATGTAGGTGACTTTGTTTCTTCAGTAGAACACAAACGAAGATTGAGAAGAACTCAAACCGTTGCAGTCTGTCAGTCATATAATGGAGGTAAATGGGAATCACGGCTTTGAGAGTCAAAAAAACATACACAAACAAAACCAAATTAAACCCTGCGGCTCGTGACGATACATTGATGTGTAAAGACACGAAACGATCGGTCTGTGCAAGAAACTGAACAGCATTTATATCGTTTTTTTACCTCTGATTTACTGCAATGTCCGAACTGTCCTGAGTGCATCCTGAGCTCGTTCGCGTCTTCTTCTTCTTCTTCTTCTTCTTGCTTTAAGGCGGATTGCAGACTTTTAAGTGCATTACCGCCACCTATTTCTCAAATGGACCATTGACACTCCTAATTGAGATTGTAGATAGAGTGTCAATGGTCCATTTGAGAGATAGGTGGCGGTAATGCACTTATAAGTCTGCGATCCGCCGTAAAGCAAGAAGAAGAAGAAGACGCGTCGGCTGAAGAACAAGAC